CTCTCTCTCTCTCTCTCTCTCTCTCTCTCTCTCTCTCTCTCTCTCTCTCTCTCTCTCTCTCTCTCTCTCTCTCTCTCTCCACCCACATATGCCAAGGGTGCGTCAACACCCAGATCTTTGAAGAGTGCAAGTTGCTCTCAACCGCTAATGACACCGGAAATGGATGTTCACAGTCGCAGATCAACACCCAGATCTTTGAAGAGGGCAAGTTGCTCTCAACCGCTAATGAAACCGGATGTTCACAGTCGCAGATGGACACCCGTAGACACATAAACATAAAAACAGTATGCACATGGGTGACACTCTCGACACTCGATAGGTATATTTTCCATGAGATTGTTCTTTGCACTCACACCGACGTCTGCATTTTCGCGGTGTTCCCAGTGCACATTGTATTTGCTACCAATGCTCTCAATGGCAGATTATATCTGCGATCACATCTGCCATCCATGTTTCGATTCTTTTTCCGTTTTTTGGGAATTGGCGTCCTTGCATTCTACGTAATTGTGACCTCTTCCATCTGTTTGTGCCTATGGTTTAGGGTTTACGGTTTTCCAATTCGGTTCTCTAATTTTCACATGCATTTTATGTGAGAGTTCAGTTAACCTCTGAGCCACTTTAATTGGGGAGTGGGTTTACGGTGTAAGGGTAGACTGGGTCCCTGTCTCATTTGGGGAGCCATTCTATTTAAATGTGTAATATTGTGTATACCACGAGCTCCTTCCTTCGAGCCGAAGTACGCAGCTGCCCCCCTTTGAATGCTTGCTTTTCTGTTCCAGGTTTTTTCTTTTCTTTTTTTTTTTTTCTTTTTTTTTCTTTTTTAAAGTTTTTTTTTTATAAAGAAAACAGAACCTTTTGGTTCTGGCTCCTACCATTCTGGGGAGCGACAGTCCGGTTCCTATTCCCCCGGCAAGTCAATATGGAAAACATGGGAGACTCACGCACGCTCCTCCCCATTATGGCTGGGAGGTCCGAGTGGACGGCATTGATTACTTCCCTGTGGAAGGATGAACCACCCCTCACCCCTGCCTACCTTAGCCTGTGCTATTTGATCTGCCTGGCTGTTGCCAATGTGTCTGAACCCAGTCCCGCTCCTCTCAGCTGTGATGCTGTCGGGTCGGTGTGTTCAGTTTTTTTTTTCTTTTTTCTTTGATTAAGCTCTATTCTTCTCTTGCCGCACCTTTCACTACCTACCGCCTACTACTCCTAGGGCTATACAGGGGAACCCTGTAATCATACCTACCGCACAATCAAGGGACCCTTGTAAGGGTTGGGGCCACCGGTGGGGGCCCGGCTAACACAGAGACCGAGCATTTTGCAGTAGCTGCACCTCCCTTTTCATCTTCCTGCAGCCCCATCAAGTAATCACAGTGTCTAAGGCCAACCCTCTCCCTCCGCCGCTTCATTTTTCTTTTCTTTAAACCACCAGTACCCCTCCCAGCCAAAAAAACCCGACCTCCTGAATTCATGGAGGTCCTTGACAGGGTTGGTAAAGGGCGGGTAGAGCCTCGGTAGAGGTGTGGGGGTCGCTCGTTTTGAAAACGAGAAGGAACGACCAGAGAAGGAAATACCAGTAGGATTCAACAAAAAAAAAAGAAAAAAAAATCTGGACAGGGAAAAGCTTACTGGGAACAGCACGCGGCAAGTGGTGGAGCAGTGTGTCTCATGAGGAACTATCCAGCGTGCAGATATGAGAATGAATCTTCCCCCTGAAAGTTGGTTGATACAGGGAAGATTCGTATGTGGCTTTGGACAAGGATGGCACGCATAAATCGAGAAATAGATCGGGAAAGAGAAAAAAACAAAAAAGCAGAAAGCTACAGCCCCCGTGGCATCACTCTGAGCATCAGTCGAGATTTGCGCAGTGCCATGACTCTGACAGGCGCGTTACCCGCACCTCTGTAGAGATTTGTGGAGTTGCATTCGCGCTGCACTGCCTTCGAATGTGCAAAATTACGATGAATCTTCACGTGGAACGCTGGAAGATACACTAAAGATTAGCATAGCCCTGTGTGAGGATAACACGCATAAATCGAGAAATAGTCCCAAAAAAGGGAAAAAAGTTCAAAAAACACAGCTACAGCGGCCTACTTTTTGTCTTTTGTGCATTGCATTAGGGCCTCCCTCCACTACTCTCCAAATGTGCGAAATGAGACTGAATCCTACACTAGAACATGGCAAGATACATTGCCATATCTTTTTGTCCTGTGCATGTGGAGTAGCGGAGCGGGGCCCTTAGGTCGTATCTGGAGAACGGTGGCATTACTCTGACTAGGGGAGAAATTGGCGGATTGCACACAAATGGCAGAAAAGGAAAAGAGACAAAGGAAAAAATAAAATAAAAAATACCAAGCTGGAAAAAAAGCAAACAATCAGAACAGAGCGACCGCTTGCCTGCATTGAAGGACTGGTCAGCTGCTATATCTCCACGGTGCAGCAGCCCAATGCACGAAAACGAAAGAGTTTTGGTGGCTTGAACAAAAAAAGGTTTGGGAAGGCCGCCTCGGGGCTGCTGGTGGTTTAAAGCCTTAATTGTTTTCATTGGAGCTTTTCTTTTTCTTTTTTTGTTAGGCATGACATTATGACTCCTTTGACTCAGGTCTGGCCGTAGTCGTGGTGAGGTACATCGTTAGTGGCCATTCCAACAGGAATCGAACTCACGTCTGCTCATCACCAGGTCATGGGTGTACCGTTCAGGCAGGGCAACGACCTGAAGATATCATTATCGAACTGACTGCCCACAGGCATTGCAGAGTTATTTGATTCTATTCCTCTCATTCCAAAGGGATTCTCTGGTCTGCACTTCAGTAGTTCATGGAGTACAAACTGGGCTAGGCCAGTTGCTGATGAGTTAACTGCTGAGGTACAGTGGGTCCCTGTCTCATCCTTGTGGAGTTATTGTACTCAAATGTATATACCATGTGCACTGCTTCCGGGATGTGTGGTTAAGAGCACTGGCAGTTTGAAGTTTGAACATTTCACAACGATTTACAGCGTCGGTTAGTGCTCAACTCAAATTGAAAGTTTGAAAGGTACAGACAAAAAATTTGGGAAAAATGAATTTTCTCAACGGATTTCCAGACAAGAAAAATGAATTTTCTTGACAGGGGTGTGGTGGGCACCCGTCGAGAAGATTCATTTCTTTGCACTGCACACTCATCGAGAAAATTCATTTTTTGTCCGTATCTTCTGGAATTTTGAATTTGATTCTTGCAGTGTTTCCGTGGGGCACTAACCGACGCTGTACATCTTTGTGATATGTTCAAACTGCCACTGCTCCTTCCTCCAAATCTCTCTGATTTGTTGTACAAACTGCCACTGCACCTTCATGCATCCACATGTCCTCGAAACACCTCCCTCCTCCCTCGCCTAATGATTCATCGGCTTTCCCTCGAAACACCTCCCTACTCCCTCGCCTAATGGTCCTTTGTGCATGAAACGTTGTCTGGCACTTTATCTGGCATGTCACTGATGAGTCACACTTGCTCTTTCTTTTCCTTTTTTGTGTTATGTGACACTTTGTCTGACATGAAACGGTTTTCACCTTTTTGCAGTCGCAGACGCCGACCCCAGGGCTCGATCCCTAGCCCTTACCCTACCGGTGTACAGTATCTGTGTCGACCCCAAGGCTTGAACCCATGACCTGTGTATTTGTAACAGTAAGTAGACTGTCGTAGGGTCCGTAGGAAGCAGGGGTTCGATCTGTAGGTCTGTCGAACAGAAGTCTTAGCGAAGTCTAGAAGTCTTAGCTGTAGCCTTCTAGAAGGTCGGCAAGTGGGCAAGTGGTGAGTCAAGTGGTGGACTAACTGCAGAGCGATTGCAGTACGACCTCGGTAGGTTAGCAGTGAGTCCCTAGGAAGTCAGCGGTAAGGTCTAGTCAGTCCCAGTCCAGTCCAGCAAGTACCACGAGGGACTGTGAGCACCATGGGCCGATGGAAAAGGGCAGACCAACGAGCTTCAGAAGTATAAATCAAGAAGCAGCGCCCAGCCAGTCATTCATTCCTGCGTGTGCAATCAGACTTGTTCTCAAACACACTTTTCATGCATGTAAACAGCAACCCAGCATACTGGCGACATACGCCCACTCAAAAATCAGATATATGGCTTCCAGATACGAGTTCACTCTCAATTGGCTATGGCGACTTCAGTGCCCAAACGTCTCACTGTTCACATACACTGGATCACCCTGGATATCCCACACGCATCACTCTAACACTCGAACACACACACACACTCACTACTAACTACCGCTATGGCAGCTGTCGCTGCATCTACCCTATCGCTATGCTAACTCCCTCTCTCTAGCCCACTGCGTCCTCCGGGCTCATCTGCAGACCTCCTTGCACAAGTCGCTGTGGCAGCGCTTCCGCATGGCTCACGCAGGAATGAATGAATGGCTGGGCGCTG